GAGAGAGAGAGAGAAAACTGGGGAAGCGCTGGCCAGCGCTTCCCCCGTGCGCTGCATTCCACGTGGCTGCTCGCGGTTAGCTTCCTCCGTTGAATTGAAATCAGCGAAGCTTGGGTTTTTTTTGCAAAAAGCGCAGTGCGTTTCAAATGAAGCTTTTCTCGTGACCCCAACCCAGATCCAAATCCCAAAATTCCTCTCTTCCTCTCCCCCCTCCTCCTTCCGTCCCCAAAACCCCGCCCTCAACAAGCTCCGCCTCCGCCTCCGCCGCATCTTCGACCTCTTCGCCCTCAACTCCGACGACCTCAGCTCCTCCTCCGAGCTCTTCCTCGCCCTCCACCGCCTCGGGCTCGCTGTACCGCAGCCCCAAATCCGCCATCACTCTCGTCGTCGACCAACTCTGAGATCCCCCTCCCTCCTCCCCCCAAGACCCCATCCAGTCTGAGATCCCCCTCCCTCCTCCGCCGCATCTGGTTAAAAAGAACACCGACGCTGACGTCGATGCCCGAGATCCGACGCCGCCGACGCCGCGAGCTCCAGTTCAGCCCCACTCTCAATCTCAAAGGTAAAGCCTTTGAACTATTTCCTTGTTCTTTTTAACCAGAGAGAAGTTTTGGTGCTTGCTTGAATCATGATTGATTTAGGGATTAGGGAGGAAAACAATAGCAGACAAAGAATTTTGTGGTATTGCAGTTGATTAAAAACTGTGCGATATTTTTCTCTAGTAAAATTAGCATAGGGCATTCTCCTGACAAATCCTCATTGCATTTTTCTGAAATGTGACCTTTGTTGATCGAGCAATGGACCTTTTAGGCTAAATTTTAGTCAACAAATTTGTTAGTTTGTGACATATTAGATTTAACTATGACTATAAGCCTATAATCAATCAAAATCAGGAACAGCTTTAAAGCCCCTTTGCTTACATTTAAAGTAGTATTAGTTTACATGTAACTTTTTAATCTTAATTATGTTTGCAAATTTATCTTAAGCTTATACTTGGATGTAGATTTCAGGCGCTACTTGTTTTTTTTAAGATCTTTGGAGAGCAGCAATTTGATCATGCATATTTTTTTGTCAATTTCATGGACAAATTATTTGTGTTTGTTGAATTGTTGAAATTTTGGGATCAGTTAGGATTTTTTGTCAATTTCATGGACAAATTATTTGTGTTTGTTGAATTGTTGAAATTTTGGGATCAGTTAGGAATTTGGGATCAGTTAGCATTTGGAAATTGGTTAGCTGCTGCTTATTTCCAAGTTATACATGTCAATAGCATTTGGAATTTGGGATCAGTTAGCATTTCATGGACAAATTATTTGTGTTTGTTGAATCTGCATCGTAGCGAGTTTGGTTGGCATAAAAGAACCTGCCTTCTTTTTGGTGTGCATGTTTTGATCGTTAAGGTGTGTAAACATTTCATGGTAGCACAATTTCTATCAAATTTGGAAACAATGAGTTGAAATTTCTATCATCTTGAACTTCAGGTTTTAGTTCACTGCCACTCGCCATCGAGCTCCTCCTCCGCCTTTCTCTCGAGCTCTCTCTCTGGATCCCTCTCTCAATCCGCGAGCGCAGGTAAAATTCTGCGTGTGGCAGTGAACTATGTTGATTTCACTATAGCACTTGATCTTAAAGAAATGAGAGATTAAAATTTTTGCAGTTCTTGAAATGAGGGGATTAAAATTGGGAGCTGCTGAATATATATTGTTGTCAACAGGGTTATTTGCAATCTTAATTAACTTTGTTTATATATCTGTTCTTGTTGTGAAAATTGAACCTAGTTCGTAGTTTCAACGAACCAGTTCAAAATATAGCATTTGAAGGTTTTAATTTGGGATATTGTATCATAATTGACTCAAAACTTTTTATTTTTATGTGGATGGAAATTGAACCTAGTTAATTTTTTTTCCCGATGAACTCATATAATTTCATCGTGGATGTTATATTATGGTAGTTCTCTTGAGATAATGGCTCAAACTGCAGCATTGTTGCAATTTTATATGGTCTTTTTTTATATATATGGTCTTTTGAGAATAATTTGAGTATTTCTTGGTAATATGTGGGATGTTGACTCAATTTTGACTTATTGAAATTGGTAATATGTGGAATGATCAAGTCATTATCTATATTCAGCAAAATATGAAAATTGTATTAGCTACAAGGCGTACCAATTTCACCTCACAAAACAAAGACAATCATCTTTTTGAATTGTTCTGATTCTGCAAATACAGTAGTTATTCTTTTGTAATATTTTGACTTATTCAAAAAGATGAATCCATGCTCTATTATTTTTCCATAAGACGTTTTAGTTTGAAGAAAGTAAATATCAACGATTAAATTTTTTCTTCCTTGCATTTGTTTTACAGCAAATAAAGTGTTCGGCATGGCAGAATCAAGTGCTATTGGAAATGAAATTGCGGCCAATGCTGAAAATGCTCCTAAACCACTACTCAGAATGAAGTTTTGGACACATCCAATGCATTTACATTGATAAATTTGTGGGCACATCCAATGCATTTACTGGAAGTGATTGTAAACTGGTCTTACGTATTAATTCTTTAATTCTTGTTTGTAAACTGGCCTTTTTTCATACATAAGGAGGCCTAAAGGATGCATTAACTCTTGAATTATTGTTATGTCTTTTCCTTTCCTGTTGTGATTGTTTTTACAATTATATTTGGTAATCTTTTGTTTAATATAGAATCAATTTGGTGATCATTGTGGCTGCATTTATATTACCTCAAGTTAGTCATCAAAATGAAGACAACCGGGACAATATGATGTTGCAGTGTATTTGTTCAATGTTCGTGTATATTTGTTCAATGTCGCAGTGTAATTATTTGATTAATAATGTATAGTTTATGGAAATTAAGCGAAAGTTTTAGTATAGTCCTTGGTCTTGAGTCTCTGAGATCTATTTAACCCTAACATCCTGCTGTAGTGCATCTATAACCCCAACATCTCTGAAATGACAACAAATTAAGGAATGAAAGCTTAGCAGCAACACACTCGGAAACAAGAGACCAATGTTCGGTAAGCAGTTCCGACCGTCATGCCTGAAGCATATGAACCAATGTGCATGAGGGCATTTCACTTAAAAGCAACATGATAATATAACATGAGAAATCTCTGTACACATGGATTTTTCAAGTGATATTTCATTGTTTCTATTGCATTCGACATCACAGGATAGAACTTGCTTCATTATGTAATATCATTTATATCTCATTAAAAAGTATTATGCCATTCGTACAACAAGAAATTCTCAAACAGAGTTGTGTTCTGGATTTATGCTTTTGATTGTTTCATTCTGTCTGGAACTCAGCCTTGATGCAATCCATTTTTCTATGATCAAAATATCGCCTTTTGAGACCTATTAAAGCTCTGAATCTGTAGATTTTCTCCTTCTTCCTGGGCTCATCACAACTGGTTGTAAATGACCACCATTATTCAAGCTCATACTCCGTGTGCATGTAGCTAGTTGTGGCAGCGGTCTTGCTGTTTTGGCTTTCTGATGTTGTCCTGGAGAAGAAAACGTAGTGTGAATAAGGTGTTATAACTACACCAAGGAAAATAAAGTATTCCTCAGTGTTTTGCATCCTCTTCTTCGCAAAATTTCATATATTGATCAGCATCCATCAAAGATTCTAACTCCCCTGAGTTGCTCATCTTGACCTTCATAATCCAACCTTTGTCATATGGACCAGCATTCGCCTGATTTAATAACCAAACCAAATGCTTCATCACTATAAAGGATTTTAACAAGTAATAAATGTTAAATAAAAACCTGTTATTGTTTTCCTCCCTAATCCCTAAATCAATCATGATTCAAGCAAGCACCAAAACTTCTCTCTGGTTAAAAAGAACAAGGAAACAGTTCAAAGGCTTTACCTTTGAGATTGAGAGTGGGGCTGAACTGGAGCTCGCGGCGTCGGCATCGTCGGATCTCGGGCATCGACGTCAGCGTCGGTGTTCTTTTTAACCAGATGCGGCGGAGGAGGGAGGGGGATCTCAGACTGGATGGGGTCTTGGGGGGAGGAGGGAGGGGGATCTCAGAGTTGGTCGACGACGAGAGTGATGGCGGATTTGGGGCTGCGGTACAGCGAGCCCGAGGCGGTGGAGGGCGAGGAAGAGCTCGGAGGAGGAGCTGAGGTCGTCGGAGTTGAGGGCGAAGAGGTCGAAGATGCGGCGGAGGCGGAGGCGGAGCTTGTTGAGGGCGGGGTTTTGGGGACGGAAGGAGGAGGGGGGAGAGGAAGAGAGGAATTTTGGGATTTGGATCTGGGTTGGGGTCACGAGAAAAGCTTCATTTGAAACGCACTGCGCTTTTTGCAAAAAAAACCCAAGCTTCGCTGATTTCAATTCAACGGAGGAAGCTAACCGCGAGCAGCCACGTGGAATGCAGCGCACGGGGGAAGCGCTGGCCAGCGCTTCCCCAGTTTTCTCATATATATATATATATATATATATAATATATAATATATATATATATATATATATATATATATATATATATATATAATATATATATATATATATATATATTATATAAGAGAGAGAGAGAGAGAGAGAGAGAACAAGACTCCTATCAACTAGGTGATGTTCCACCAAACTTTGTAGCCACACATTTATTAATATAAAACACATTTTTATATAATACAAGGATCCCTAGGCAATATGAGTGGTTAAAAACTTTGGTGGACACACTATTCACTATCCACTTAAGTTGACACAAGTTTTCACCTATATATATATATATGAGAAATATGGGTATGCTTGATATCAACACAAAAAATTATGCTTGGCAGTGATGTGTCAAATCCCCTCCATTCATTCAAATTTGGACCACAAATCACATGTGTAGGGAGTGGATGGGCATGTGACACATTACTACCAAGCACAAAATTTATGCTTTGTACAAAAACATACCCATATTTCTCTCTCTCTTCTCTCTCTCTCTCTCTCTATAATATATATATATATATATATATATATATATATATATATATATATATATATATATATGCCAAAAGTGAAACAGACAACAACACCACACGTTATCACATCCGCAAAAGAAAACATCAGACCGTGCTTAGCACGGGCTTAACTAGTAATAATAATGCAAATAAAAAACCTTTTGTTCCGTTCACAAATCAGAATATTACACAGATTATGTTTAAAATTTTGTCCCTTGAATCATTACTTCTGGATAATGTTAACGGTCTTAGGATAATATTATCCTTACCTCCCTAATAAGGAGAAAGTCTACAAGCTAAAAATTTAAAGCCCGTTATAACTCATAACTTTATCCATTACAACCGAAAAATGATACTTTCCAAAGCTATATTATTGATTGTATACATACAACAATTTTCCCATCACCTCGATCATTGTTTGTCTATTTTCCCTCCGGAAATGCTATAATAGTTCTGCATTTTTATTTTTATTTTTATTTTTCAATTTACATTCTGTCAATTAATTTCTAGTTCTAATGTTCTTTTGGAAATAGCAACTAATCACAAAAAGCCCCCAGATACTTGCAGCTTTCTTCAACATGCCCCCAAACTCCATAATCCCCAAAATTTCCGATATAACCCCTAACTTTCAGTTCAACTTTATCTTTAGAGCGACCCACAAACTTGCAAGATTATTTTCAAGAAGTCCAAGCTTCCAATATTACTTTCAAGAAATCATCATGAACCTTTGAAAGAGTTTAATTCAGAGAACCCCCCCGTTGCAACATGGGGATATGTTAGAAAAATTGCAAACATTAGGATGTGTTTTGACAAGCCCAAAACTTAGGGGATCAAGGAACGTTTTTAAGTTCAGAGGGGTTATCTCAAAATGGGCAAAAGATTGGGGGGTATCTGAATTTTACCCTTCAAAAAAAATGCTTAAAGAGGCAGCTCCAAACGGTCTTTTGCAATCCTTTCAGATTGTTATGACTGTCAGCTTGTGGGCCCTACTGACAGTTATAACTGTCTATTTCTGATCAAATTGCAGCTTTGCAGTAAACCCCTCCAAGACTGACAAATCACTTATAAATCAGCGCAAGAAGCATAAAAAGACAATTTGTGTTGAAACTAAGTGCTTGAAACGAAATGATGAGGAAACTTTACTACTTGTGTAGTTGTGTATCACCGTTGGCATGGTCTGTTGTGACATTGTGTACAAAGGCTTGATCAGAATTCATGAGTCGTCTCCGCTCATAGACGAGCTGTAGATAATCTCAGTCAGCATTTATAACCTTTAAAAAAACTGAAATTAAAATGAGATTTGAATAACAAATTGGAATTAAAACATTAGATTTCACTGCTAGTCATGATATTGTAGTGTGTGTACGTATACTACTATAAATGTATACAGTTACAGACATACATGGTGGGATGTATACTTAATATATGCAGCACAGCTTAAACGTTCTATCAAAAGACTGTCTAAGATAATTATATATTCCAAGTAAAAAAAACCATGGACAACATTGCCATACTTTTATCAATAGTAAACCTGGAAGTATATACAGAAACAAGAACCTGGAACTGCATTACAATACAATAACCTCAGGTATTTTGAATTACATCTATAACCAGCAATCATTGAATATTGCGAACATGTTTACAGGTAACAACTAGTAGAAAATGATCGGATTCTGAAACTCAAAAGTCACTGTAAGAGGATGTACATCTCAATTCTGCTTTCCATATGCTTGCTTTAAAATCTCGTTTGTTGTGTTATATGGACCGTAAATCTTATCAACAAAAACTTATCAAAAAAATGTTGACCTTCCATAGATCAGTTCTAGATGTGTCACTTGTCCAAAACTATTAACAAGAAGCTGCTGTAAAAGCCTCCTCACTGCTTCAACGTGTAAAGAAAGAATCCACGATATAGCGATTTCTACAGTTGAATGCATGGATGAATCTCTTTGGTTTATTCTGAGCAAAGCCTTTTAAGAGCTGTGATGATGAATTTTTTGGTGTTTGTTCGAGGTCAGCCGTTCAAGAGCCCTTTTCTCGTCACCATCAACCTCTTCCAATACCCTCTTCACACGAGCCTCAGGGAAACCCATCTCGACTAGCCTCTGCTCCTATATTGTTTTTATGAATATGGAAAGTGAAGAATTAAACAATTTCTTCCCCCAATATAGGCCTCATTTTAATCAAAAAACTTTCTCGGGAGCAAACTAATGAATAAAAGAGCATACCTTTAGCCCAACGGGTGCTGTAGTCTTGGCAAAAGCTTCAGTCCAGTTCCGAGCATGGTTGCAAAATTCAGAATAGTTCTTCGTTAACTGCAAAAAAAAAAAAAGCAAAAAAAAAGGTGCAAATATTGAATGAAAAGAGATATGAGAAGTGGCATCTTAATTGATAATCGGAATTAAATTTCGTTAAACTGTTCACTAGTATCACCCTTGTTACTTGACCCCCTAGCTTCCAAGATAACTATATATATATATGTGACATCACTGTAAGATCTCCTCCGGATATCACTAATTATTAACTTCAGAAAACCCCTGAACTTTGGGGGCTGCTGCAGATAGCCCTCCCTAAACTACTTTAATTGGAAAACCCCCCAAAACTAGGGGGTGGTTGTAGTTTTTTTTTTTAACCAATTAAGTCATTCGTCATTTACAGATTATTTTTTTTGGGTGGTGGTAGGGTTTTTTCATCTTCTTTTGTGTGTGTGTGCGCGTTCGGGAGGGTAATGGAATAAAACAATTTTAGGGGGTTATCTACAACTACCCCCTAGAAAGTTCAGAGGGATGTTCTCACTTTCAGAGCTTTATCTGAGCATAAAAATGAATTCATCTTTATACCTGATCAGAAACCGTTTTATCGGCTTGGGGGCCATAAGGTGCAGGTCTAGAGAGTAAAGCCTGCAGAGAGAGAAGAACATTCTGCAGAGTGACCGTAGGATTCCATTTACCCTCCAAATAAAATTCTGCCGAGAGAGAAACAGCTCCACTTTGATGACAGATATTTGGGTGCCTTCAAAAAAAGAAAAAAACCCTTCTTCATTCAAAACCATAGTAGCACTTGATTAAACTATGACAGAATTGAAAGGCGAAGATTCCACAACTAGGAGCTACGTAGTTCAGAATCAGACCGCAATGGGAAAAATGCTCCCTCTTACAATGTTGTTGCCCCTAATCGAAAGGCAAAGTTGCAGAATATAGGAAAGCCCTCAGAAAAGATCACAGTTTCGCTTTAAATTTGATAGGCATGTCAGTTGGTATCGGTATTGGCTGGTAGTTCAAACATGGATAAAAAAAACATACATAAGTAGTTAATGAATCAAAGAAAAGGGGAACTGTTTATGTCAATTTGTCAAGTTTGCAGGTCAGTGGTTAAAGATCTAAGCTTCAGGTCGAGGAACTTTGTGCATTACATTTGCCAGGATGAAGCATTACAAGACGGTTTGAATAACAAATTAACAGGAACTTGTTGATAAATAAGCACAAGATCAATGTGAGGAGAACCAAATTAAAACATGATCAATGTTTATATCACAATGCGAACAGGACATTGAAGATGTAGGCAAGAAATTGGGGACCATGAGCAAAGGACCATACCAAACTTTTGTACTGAACTTCATCTGTGGAGGCTCAAAAGAAATTGGGGACCATGAGCAAAGGACCATACCAAACTTTTGTACTGAACTTCATCTGTGGAGGCTCAAAAGGGTAGTTACCTGCAAACTAAAGGACCATACCAAACTTTTGTACTGAACTTCATCTGTGGAGGCTCAAAAGGGTAGTTACCTGCAAACATAACCATTACTGATTACAAACTGTTCTCTCATTGGTTAATCTCAATATAACTGCAAATAACACTACACAAGACGAAAATCCATGTTGGAAAAAACCCTTTCAACAGAAGCCCTTTGACATATATTTTCTTTCTTCTACAATATTAATTAAAAGTTTCTGAGAGTTATTATACACTTATCGTCCTAAAGTCTCAAGTCACTGACAATAAATGCAAATAACTAATCTACGTAGAATTGATGGAAAAATTAACAACAAACAACTGCTAATGAATCCATTGTTCAATAATAGAAATTCTAGAACAAGCAGAAAAATTCTATAATTCCAAGAAGACCCATAAAGCAAATCAGCACAAAATCAAACAATCTATACCAAGCCCACTTCAATACTTTCCTTTTTTTTTAAATAAAAAAACCACTTCAATAAAAACAAAATGAATTGGCTTCCGCTATCACAAGCTATTTTCTCATTTGGTTTAATCTTACTTCTCCAGTAATCCTATCAATGAAACCCCTTCTGCAAATATCTTCTTTCTCCTCCAATCGTTTACAAAGCCCTGACAATTATTAGTCATTTATCCTCCTAAATGAAATCAGCACATACTCTACACGATCGATCAATTTACACATGCAAAACCCACTTCAAGAACATCAAAATAAATTGTAAGAGACTCATAAATGAAACGAAATCAGAGCACAGTTACATACCCCACACAACCAACAAATCTACACAAAAACCCACTTCAAGAACATCAAAATGAGTCGCAAGAAACCCAGAAATGAAATCAACGAACACTCTTCGAAAGCAAGCAATAATCTACACAAAACCCACCTCAAGAACATCAAAATGGAGTGAAGGAGACCAATAAAAGGGATCAAGACTGTAAAACTACCGGGCAATTGGATGTCAATGTGAAAGATTCCGCCCTCGTACGGAGTTCCGACGGGGCCGGGGATCGTTCCTTCGAGCTGGGCCAGATCGTTTCCCTCGCCTTTGCAGAGTTGGGCCAGAATTGGATCCATCATTGAACCCGTCCAGCTCTTTGCGTACCCTCCGTCTCAAGCAAAATCTTTTCTTCTTCCATGATCTTAGCGAGAGACAGAGAGAGAGAGGAGATGGAGGGAAATGAGAGTCTGTCTCCGCTTTTGAGTTTTGTGTGTGGAGTCGGTTTGTTTATCGTGTACCTGCGGAACCAGTTTTAGCTCCTAGTAAAGAAGCTAATATACTTGTTTAATGTCGTGGATTAAGTTAGGCAATTGGCATGTAGTAGTAGTTTTTTTTTTTTTTCGTTTATAACTTCAAATATATCCTTAAAAATGGGATTAACTATGCGCCATACATGGATATATTTATGTCATGTGGGCCCTACTGACAGTTATAACCGCCAATTACCGATCAAATTACAGTTTTGCAGTAAACCCCCTCCGACACTGAGAAATCACTTAAACCAGTATGAGAATCATAGAACGACAATTGTGCTGGACCTGAAATCGAAATGACGGAAGAAATTTTACCGCTTCCGCATGAAAGAAAATTTCCATGAACGCACAGGGACACAAGCTAGATGTCGCTAAGTCCTAATTATGAAGAGAACCATGCCCAAGCTTGCAAAGGCTTAATCGAAATTCGATCACGAGGGTTCTCTAATCGTTCGACGAGCTGTAGTCTGTAGATAATCACGGTTAAGAATTTGCAATGTTGACAGGTTGCGCCCGCGAGTGCAATCAGTCAAGACCATTGAGAATTCAACGACATCAAAACAAATTGAAAGAAACCAGAATATTGATAACGACATTCTTTTGTGTGTAGCTTAAGAGGAAATTACAGCTTATAATTTTATACGTTTTTTCTGGAAATTAATTCAATTAAAAGAGTAAAGTTTTTTTTTATAGATGCAATTGATTTTTTTTTTAGGTGAGGATATCTTAATCCACCTCAAATCATTTACCATTTCAGTCATATATTATGGTACATACCTTCTTAAATTTATGTCCCGATTCGTTATTTTTATTTGTACTAGATTTTATGCACATGCAATGCACGTGGTTAAATACTGTGATTAGGTATTTTTTATTTTCTTACTAAAATTTATTCCTCGGTTACTCTTTGATATTAATTTTTACTCACTTTGATTAAGTATTTTTGGTTTATTTTCTTACTAAAATTTGTTCCTCGATTACACTTTGATTGTTTATTTATTTGATGTTTGTTTGAATATGATACATCCAGTTTAAATTTTAATATTGATAGTTGAATTGTCAGGAGATAAATATAATCTAAAGCCAATTTCAATTTTTATTTCATTAGATCGGCATGAAACCGAGCTTGACTTGAGGAGGTATAGTGTTATGAAAGTGAAAACACTTGAAAAATAACATTATAAAAGGAAGATGAATAATAAAGACAACGAGCCAAGATGATTGATTTAAAATGGGCTAAAATGACAGAAAATAATTAATGAAAAAAAATCATAAACTTAAGATTAATGATAACTCTAGTACACTTTTATATGATAAAAACATCCACATATGCATATGTAAGCACTAAAATAGTTTATGAAAATACCTTCTAAAGATTCCTAGTTTTACTAAAAAATAAAACTATTCTATAACAATTCACAAAACATTATCTTTTGTTACTTCTATTTTATTTTTTATTGAGTCGAGATCAATCCTTCTTCATCTTTACCTTTTCCCTAGCCAATTCTAGAGTAGTAGTGTATTCATCGTCTACATCGATTTTGATATGAGACTGGAGCATGTTATCTTTCCTTTAGTTCATTCATCTTTTGTCTTCTCGTCTAAATTCACAAAGAAGTTGAATATATTTATTATATTCAACACAAACTTCTGACAATACGGACTTTGATTTTTTCCTATTTCAGTAAGAATAAATATTAATTTCATATATATGAAATTTTTTATTATTTTTATTTATTACTTAAATAAGGTTAGGAGCTACATCTTTTTTCTCTGCATTGAATTCTTCTGTTGTGCATCCAATAAGAATTTCGGTTGTATCATAATGTTACATTTGCTCTATCTGTGTTATTTTCCATGAGGATTTGAACTAAATACATTAATTTTTTTTATTATCAATTTGCTTTAGATTATAATATTAATATTTAGTTTTGATATATTTATTTCATGAAGAAGGGATATCACTTAACCTTGATACTAAATCATTGGCGACTCTACAACATTTATCATATGGACACTTATTATTAACATCTTTATCTACTTTCTTATTGCAACCTTTGCAAATATAGAACCATTGCTCAACTCTATTATAAATGGTAGTTATCATTACCTTAAAGGTGTGATAGTGTGTCTATATATTGGTAAATTATTCTTAGGTTTAATTTTATGAATTTTAACGTAGGTTTTCTAAGATCATACCTTTTTCAAATGTTATAATGGTTGTATATATTAGTAATTTGAATTTCTGTTGCATTTATAAAGAGCCTTAATGGAGATGCTTTTGTCTTGACAGCTTATTCTAAAAGAACGTTGCATATTAGCTTTAAAATATAATATTATTTTTTTACGGTGTTATATGGATGTTTGCTTGGTTTACATACTATTCTCTTATTTCTTCAGTAAGTTGTATATTTGGATTGATATATATTATTGACACAATTTATGATGACATGCATATCTCCTTTATAAATTTAAGACAGATATAAGGTGAATTTTATATTTAGTGGTCTTTAATAAGAATTTTACTAATAAAATATACTACCTTCATACTTAGAGATCTTGAATTCTAATAGTGCTATTACATCATTATCTTTGATAGTGTCTTTAAGAATTGATCCTTCGTTAGTAGTCATACCCCTAAATAAAGTCACACGCAAGGTCGTGAAACTATATAAGAAAAAGAAAAAGACCGATTTTATATTTTTTTGCTTACGCAAAGTATAGTAATTTTTCTTTTATCTTCTATGAAGAATGTTTCTTTGATGGGCACAAAGTTGTTCAATATATTCTTCAGGAAGTATTCAGTTGGTATTTTTTTGATAAATATAACTTATATTAGAGTTAATTGAAGTAATTCATGGACGTTCCGAATTCCATTTGAAATGAAAACCGCTTGATTCTTTTGAAGGATATCTCTAAATTTTTTAATAGTTCTCCATACATAAATATTTGTAACTTTTTACCTAATAAATATTATTACCATTAGAGATCAATATTTATAAATTATAATCAATTATTGTTAAGCTATTATATTATAGTCTTTTAGTAGTTTTTTGTGATTTAGTCTTCTATCAATTAATGATACTTATGTATTTTTGGTGTTCTAACATATTGGTAAAATTATATACAGTTACTTTAATTTATACAATAATATTAATTTTTAATCTATCATATTTTTTTTTAAATTTTTATTATTTAATTGGATATTTTTAATCTGTTATTATTACTATTTTCTTACCAGTATCAACTTGACTATTTTCAGATTCTAAAAAGGGATGGTAAATCTTAAATTATAAGTTATATTTATATATCTTAATAAAAAATATCACATAATTACTCTTTTCTTTGCCAAGTTCTAGATTTTCAGCTTTTTATTTTGTGTAATTTTAAACTTTTGTGAGTATTTTGTCTAATTTTTAAAACTTTTTGTTTTTTTTATAATACTTCATGTAATAAACTGATAGTATGGAGATGTTTCATATATTTTATTAATCTTATTTAAATTGTTGAGTTGTAGATAGTGCATGAGGTTTTAAATTAGGATATAAGTATGATTAGTATTGATTATAATTTAAATTAAATATTTAAAATAGAACAGTGTGATTTTGACTATGGAAAGCTTTTCCTGAACTCGTACTTTTAAAGGGAGTATGATTTTTTATTTTCCTTAATTTTTTGTTTTTATAATTTTAAGAATGACTTTTGTCTCTTTAATTTGTTTGGTGGATTTTGTCTCTTTAAATTGTTGAGCTATAGATAGTTCATGGGGTTTTATGATAGGATATAAGTATGATTAGTATAGATTATAATTTAAATTAAATATTTAAAATAGTACAGTGTGATTTTGACTATGGAAAACTTTTCCTGAACTCATACTTTTAAAGGGAGTATGATTTTTTATTTTCCTTTTTATAATTTTGAGAATGACTTTTGTCTCTTTAATTTGTTTGGTCGATTTTGTAAATATCTCATCCACATTATGTATATTTGGAGGTCTACGTTGTTCTTAGGTTCGGCCTTTTAGGGTAGATATTGTTAGACCCTAGAGGGGGGGTGATTAGGGTCTTATGCTAATCTAATCCGATTATATGCCAATTAAAATTAATTAACGAGTTATCCTAGAAAGTATGAAATATAACAACTATATAAGCTAGGATAAGCAATATGAACAATGAGATATATCATATATGATGAAATATATATATGCAAGGATATATAAACTAACACAAGATGATATATCCTACCAAAGAGATATACCAAAGAGATATACAATATGATATATGCAAGGATATGAAAACTAACACAAGGGGTAAACAATATGAAACAAGATAGTGGATGATATAAAATAATGAGCTATGGACAATGGCGATATAAGATATGAACATAAATATAAATGAACGCCAAAGCACACTCAAACACACTATATGATCACGGAGTTCGGACCTTCCATCCTACGTCTCCGCTCCCCACTCCCGGGGAGAAATCCACTATCACAACCCGGTTTGGAAGCCGGAACTTCTACACACTCGGTTTACAAGTTCACCAAAAACTCTCACACAACAAACACTATGCAATCACACTCTACACCCACACAAGTCAACCTCTCCCTAGGTTCGTCAACCGACGCCACTCCTCTTGGAACGATCCCCGACTCTCACCACACACTCCTCACTCGGTGTACAAGTATATTACAAAGTGAATCTCACAATTAGGCTCAATACAATAATTGTTTGTTCTCTACTATGGATGAGAACACAATGAAAGCTCACACTCAATGTTACAATCTCTCATAACCCTAATATACTATGTATGCAAATACAATAAGCTCATGTGGGTGTGTGTAACAATTAGATTCAATAAAAACTTAACTCAATAAGAACTAGCAATAAGATTGATATGAAATACAATAATAGAAATGCTAAAAAATAGAGTTAAGGAAACTTCTCTATAAACACAAAGAGAGGATGATGAAATGTTAAAGATGAACTCTTCAATAGTTGATGTAAACTCCTCTTTGTAACAGCAAACCCAAAACAAACTTAAACCAAAACTAAACAAGCTTAAACCCTTGTTTAAAAACTTCTTAGATGATTTGAAAGAGAACAGCAATGGGGTATTTATACCTACTCAAAATCTCAGCCAAAAACCCCAAACAAAATGACAAAAACAGCCCCAACAATGGTAACAAAAATAGCCGTTGGAAAGAGAACTGACAGAGCGGTGGTCGACTGAAAATATTCGCGGGCGACCGCGAACCAGATCTGAAACTGAGAATACAAGTAGAACTTCGTCGGTCGACCGGTGCGGTCGACCGATGGAAATTTCGAGCTCTCGGTCGACCGCGGTGGTCGACCGACAAACTCTCTGCTGCCCACTGACCAATGAACACATGAGCGGTCGACCGGTGCGGTCGACCGAAATCTGATACTACAGAAAAACAGTTTTTTTTTAAAAGCTGATTTTTGAGACTTTGGAAAATTGTTAAAAATAACAAATGAAGTCCAAAAATAATAAAACTTTGGAAAATGTATATAAACATGTAAATGAACATGTTACAAAAAGAATTTTCCAAATCGCATTTCCCATTTGTGAAAAATCATTATTTTGCAAAATAGTCCAAAACACGAAAATGTAAACATGTGAATTTTGATATTTTGGTTAAACCATGTTTTGAAACTTTGCACAATGATTATATAGACTTAATAAAATATGTATATGATTATTGTTAAGTGCATAAACTGAGAAAAATAATATTTTCACAAAATTGCATAATATATACTAAAACACAATAATAAATATGAAACATGTGATTTTATATTATAAACATGAAAACTCAAAAACACATGTATGTATATATATAACTATATATATGCATAGAAACCAAAACTTATGTATATATATATAACTATATATATATACGAAGAAACCAATAAATGTGTGTGTATATGATATTGAGCTTAGAGTATCTAACACACATAATATAAAATCTAAACTAGATTACCCAAGCTAGATCTTAATCTTCATTGTAGCTCAACTTGGTACACATGCGGATGAAGCTTGAACTTGATCTTTAACTTTGAATTGCAAGGCTTCACCGACATTCCGCCAACCTCCTTTGGATATCATCGTTGAAGCTCTATTCCATCCATCATCCAACTCGTTGTTTGTCTATAATAAATAAGAAAACACAAATACTAGACAAACAACATTAGTGATAAATTGTTTGTTAAACATCATCAAAACAAGAAGGCCAACAGATATTATTTGTCTCATTAATTTATTTATTTTTTGCATATACACCCTTCATTTGTAGACATTTATAAATTTGGTATTTAATAATTTTATTTAGATTTACATTTCAATTTAAATTGTACCCTTATCTTCATACTATGTATATCCAATAAGAATTCATTAATTTATCAATTTATTCTTACTTAATGGAATAATATTTGAATTCTAAGGGTATTTTTGTCTACTGAAAGATTTTCCCGAACTCGTGCTTTTAAAGGGAGTATGATATGATTTTTTATTTTCATTAATTTTTTTTATAATTTTGAGAATGACTTTTGTCTCTTTAATTTGTTTGGTAGATTTTGTAAATATATCATCCATATTATGTACATTTGTAGGTCTACAATGTTCCCGAATTTGACCTTTGGGGTAGATATTATTTGTCTCATTAATTTATTTAGTTTTTTACATATACGTCCTTCATTTTGTGGATATTTATAAATTTAGTATTTAATAATTTTATTTAGATTTATATTTCAATTTAAATTGTATCCTTATCTTCATACTATGTATATCGTATTTAATAATTTTATTTAGATTTATATTTCAATTTAAATTGTATCCTTATCTTCATACTATGTATATCCAATAAGAATTCATCAATTTATCAACTTACTATGTATATCCAATAAGAATTCATCAATTTATCAACTTACTCTTACTTAATAGAATAATATTTAAACTCCAATGGTGTTTTTGTCTACCGAAAGATTTTCTCAAACTCGTGCTTTTAAAGAGAGTATGATCTTGATTTGAATTAAACTTTATATAATTATATAGATTTTTGTTCATAAAAAAATTAGACTTTATCTATATTAATAAAAAAATTGATTAAAATGTTCTAGAAACAACAAAGAGAAAAAATGAATATTCAATTGTATAGACATTATCAATGTTTATGGTGAAATATGAATAAAATGTTCTAGAAATAATAAAGGGACAAAATTCTTTTGTTGAATTAGCTTTTTACCCTTTCAACCATAGTTGAAAAGAGGTTTAGTTGAAAAGAGGGCATGTACACCATTCATCCATTTTTTTCATATTGTCATCACTTGATTCATTATATAGTAGTATAGATTTAATAATATTGGCAAAAGATTTGGTAGATGGGTTATTGGGTTTAAGAATGGATATTGGAGGATCTAAATTTGTCACCCAATAGTGGGAAGATCACACGATAAAAAAACATAATAGCAAATATTGTGATGTTTTATCAAGAGATGAGTTGCAAAAGTACAATGTACAATTTTCTTTTGGGTTACTTAGCTATATACTCCTAAATCTTCACAATTGCCTATTAACCCCCAAAATCTTGATAATTGCCAACGTACCCCTAAATCTTGATAATTACAGAATATTGGGAGTCTATTGACAATTATGAAGATTTGGTGGTTAATTATGAAATTACAGAAAGTTTGAGGGGTATATAGCTAAATAACCTTCTTTTTTCCTTTTTTTTTTGGGTGCCACATGAAAACCCAAGTTATCAATCTGCAAAATTTTCAGCCGATTGATAATTATTTCTCAAGTTGTCACTAGTTAAAAAGAAATAACAATTCAAAATCACAACATTATAATGCATATGTACAAACAAAAAATAGTGTCATGATAGGTAAAGCTAAAAGTCTACACACAAAGCTATCTATACACGAAGCAATTGCTATGCTTGTATCAATAGTAAAGCTAAAAGTCTATACACAAAGGAGAAGCAAGCTATCTACACACGAAGCAATTGCCATACTTGTATTGTATCAATAATAAAGCTCAAAGTCTATACACAAAGGAGAAGCCACAAAGTCCACTAAGAACTAGCAATGCCTTTAGAAATCAGCTAGCATGTTGGAATTCAGACAAATCATAATCTTTTGTTCTCAGTAATGCCTTAGAAATCAGCTAACATGTTGAAAATCAGACAAATCATAATCTTTTTTCTTGAAGTTCATCTCAAACCATTTGAAGAATTAACATATCTCAAGAACAGTAGTCAGAAAATACTTGGTATTCCTGAGAAGTGGAGCTGCATTACAATACAATTAAAGCCATAGATTGTGAGATACAAAGACAATACAAAATCAACAACAACATTCACAAGAGCAAAAACATTATTGCCGAAATATATTTACAACAAATTCTAGCTTACAAATTGAAGCAGAATCAGCCAGCATTTTCAGCATCAACTTCTGTCGACTTAACAAAGCGCCCCTTAACGCGTTTCCTAGAATCAGCTCTTGCTTTTCTCGACTCATAACGAATGTGCTTCTCATACCTATAAGTAGTCCAAAGACACAATAAGAAACAATACAGAAAATGAGAACTTAAGAGAAAATGCTGAAGGATAAAAACTTGTTCCTACCTGCGATTCTTCCTCTTCTCCCTATACCGTAACATGGCGTTTCCTCGATTTTGAGCGAATAGTTCACTGTCAATCTTATTAGTTGCTTTCACCTCATTACTGATTATGGGTTGTTCTCCAAAGGAAATTTCTTTCGTGTTGCTACCGGACCCTGGATCATGCAAGAAGCCAATAGATGGAACGATGGCTGCTATATTATTTCCTGAGAGTGTTGACGCATTTGCTGATGAATTGTTCGGATTGCTCTTAGATTTGCCCGACATGCTAACTTTGCTCTGCTTCACAAAGAAATATCAGCATTTTTACATATAGCAGTGACCTGTGCGTGCATGTGCACAAAGGTAACCTCATTATCAATATTTACATTAAGGGTTAATTGCATTAAGGGTTAATTGTGGATAGATCCTCCGTACTTTCTCCCAATTGCAGATAAATCCCCTGTAGTTATTTGTTGCAGATAGATCCCCTGAGGAAATATTTTTGACTCTTTTGCCCTTAAAGAAAGAGATTTTCCGGACAAATAGACTTTCTGAGGGTAAAAGGAGTCAGGAAAAAAATCACTCAGGAAGTCTATTTGCAACGATAAATTTTTCAACCAAGGGCTCTATCTGCAACATAGAACTACAAGGGTATATCACCAATTTGGCGATAACATAATAGTACAGGGGGTATATCCGCAATTAACCCTCGAATTAATTATGTCATCAAGCAGACTTTCAATATGCCTTACATACGCTATAATCAGGTAAACCTCATTCCCACTGTGACTTTTATTATGCTATTAAATGTTATATAACATTGATTTTACATTATTTGCCCACAATTCATTAGTTAAGATTATAAATAAAGTAGGTTTTAAAAAAAGAGTATAAATAAAGTGTTTTCTAACAATATTCATTTGTCAGTAAAGGAGACCTAGCAACTTGGTGTAGAAAAGTTGGTAACATCATCTTAATGCCACAAATATTAAAATATATTATTTTATTGCTGAAAAGTTGCTACAAGCGAATACTTCTTTTGGGAGAATAAAAATAAATGAGACAATAACTTACATCTTGCGGATGAATGTGATGTATGTCAGCAGACAGGACACTAGAAGGGCAGTTGCTATGATATATATCTTCCAATATCTTTGTAGTTGAAATAGAGTTGTCCTTAAGAAGGTCATTGTAGCTCTTGATTGTAAAACCAGAATTATTCATACCGTATTCACTTTCAAGTTCAGATGATTCATTGTGATCCCTTGATCTTCCAAGATTAAAATCCCATATCTGCCAAACAGCAAAGGATTGATCTTAAGTTTACTATAGAAGTTATTGAGCAAATGCAGCAATGTGATAGCAATTAATATTATTTGACAGAACACGAAAATATAGATAATCAAAGGCAACCACTTGATATAACTTAGGACACAGATTCTTCAACATCAACCATTTTGCACCATCCAGACATTCCTCGAAAATTCTCTAAATGACTCAATTTGTAATGTAACTAGAATCCCTGATCTCAGGCTATGCCAGAAGATGCAGCACTACGGGCATCAGCGTGACAAAACATATGCTAGCATAAACACTCAGTTTATGAGCCCTGTTTGAAAACATCTGGATTGAAGCAAACTAGAATTCATACGCATTACAGGTCCAAGTTATAAAGATCAACTTATTTTCCATATTTTGTCATACTTTTGAATCACTTTCTATCAGACGCATCGCGTATGCTATATATTTCAGAATCCACCTGTCTCAGAAACCAATTGAAAGAGGGAATATGTTATTAACACACTTTTTCATAATCCAATACTCTTCTCAGAACTGTGGGCCAACTTTTTCTAAGCAATTCAAGGACACTATTATTAAGTAATTTCTCATTGAATGTCCATTAAAATAAGAATAATAAGTGTTCCTTCATTGTATAAGCTAAAGTTGGACGACCAAGAATCTTAGGTATAAGCTCAACAGCATGAGCTTAAGCTACATGAGAAAGGGTAGTCAGACTCAGACAACTGTCCTTGATCTAATGGTGTCTCCTCTTGATCAATATTACATTGTTCGTGAACATCGCATCAACAGAAACACTTTATGTTGCCTTACCATCAAAGAATCCATTTAAACAAATGAAAAAAAATTATATTCATGCATTTAGAGATTAAATTCTGATGACTCACAATGAATATTTAGATACTTTAATCAAACCAAAAAATCAGTTAGCAGTGTTTAATGATGTCGAACCAAACCTGAGTATTGCGATCAGTTGTTGGCCTAGAACTCCACATCACTTCCTCATCATCAACACCCTGCTCTGTACCCTTGAAATCCACAAAACCTGATGGGGCTGTCATCATAAGCAATGAAGTGAATGGCATTTGGTGCGCAATTCGGTGATCCTCTTCTTGATCTCCAGTGACACTATTATTCCTGCAAGGTGTCTTCGGGCTCAAATCCAATGGCACGGGCGAAGCTGTGTTTCTATCCGAGGTCAAGTTGGACCCAGCCACATCTTGACTCGCCAACTCAATCAGCTGATCGAGTAACGGGTTACTCTTCTGTGGCTTAATCTCGGCACAGGGAACATACAAGTCCTGGTAAAGTGGAGAACAATTGAAATGAGAATTCAAGTACTTTATTTTCAATGCAGAACAGTTCAATTTATAATAGGTACCAATTATACTAAGTTACAATATGCATCCCAGTAACCAGTATCGTGACATCATTTACATTACAAATGAAGTAAATATGCCGAAAAAATGAGGACTTTTTCGAGAAATAATTCGGGCTGCAGTGAAATTAAACCTGGAACACTGAATCCGCGGCCAGAAACGAATCAGGATTACACCAATCAGACCCGGATCCAAACTCGGTTCCGGATCCCGCTCCGAACCCGCACTTCGATTTCGCGGCGAGATCAAGCCCCCAAGCATCAGCAAGCTCAAACGCCGACGGGCAACCAGTGAAGCTCTCAATAGCGGATCGGGCATGGAACCCTGAACCCGAGTCAGAACCCGACCCGTGAGCATCGAAATCGCAATCGGAGCAAAGAGAGAGGCCATCGGCGGTGCAAGAGGCGAGCTGAGTCAGCACGGCAGTAGATCACCGCCGCCGATTCGGAGCAGTGGTCGCAGTGAATCGTTTTATCGGGAGCTTTAACAGAGGGCGCCATTGAGTTTAGACCCGACCCGATAACACGATGTCGAAAAAAAACCCTAATTTCAGCTTCGGTTATTGCTAGATTCAAACAGAGATTTCTTGAATGCTAACCCTAATTTGAGCTCCAAAGGCTCAAAAACACAATTATTTTTACTGAATGTGAAAGAAATTCTCCACTTTCAGCTTCAACTGTTGCCTGAATCGAATAATAATATTTTCAGATTTCAGCTTGAGGATCTCATTTTTCTCAGAATTCTTAACCCTAATTTGAGCTCCAAATCCCGAAAACACGAAATTGAACAAATTTCTCCACTTAAAGCAACAAATTTTTTTTTCTGGAACAGAACAGAGATCTCAGATTTCAGCTTGAGATTCTCATTTTCCTCCCAAAATAATTAAAAGTTGGAGAAACTCTTCTTGTACTGGATCTAGATTGGAAATGCTGAGGAAATTTGATTCCAACTTGGAAACCAAAACACTAAACCCTAGAATTTGAGGAGAAAAAAGGAGGAGGAAGACGATCCCAGGATTTTTATGCTGGAGTGGAAGCCACCGCTCTCTTTTCTCTCATTCTCTCTCTTCGGGGACGGGAGCAAAGAAATGAGTGCTGTTAGAGGGAGCCAATAGGGACCCTGAGGGAGAGCGGGACAGTCGAGTTATACCTCCTGTTCCGTCATGCACAGTTAATGACTCACGGGATAGTGCGGCGATACCTCACCTGACAACAGTGCATCACGGGATAGGAAAACGACATCTTACTGGTGTGTTTGGGAGTTTACTAAGAGCCTGTTTGGATTTGTAGGGGGTGAAGAGAAGTTAAGGGAAACTAGGTGAGAGAATGGAAGGGAAGAGAAGGGGGTTCCATTCCCCTTGGTTACACCCCAATTTAGGGGGTAACAAATTTTATACTAGTAGGGGGTGAACCAAGGGGAACTAGGGTGAATAACTTTACATTCTAAATGTTCTCAAACAAGATGAATAGAGGTGAATGGTTCTCCTAACTTCCCTTCACCCTTATTCCCCTCAATCCAAACAAGCCCTAAGCGAAGGGAAGGAAAGGTAAACAACGGGAAGGGAAGGGAAGAGAATTTTAATATGTTGTTTGGGAGTTGAGTAAGGTGAATGAAGGTGAAATTAATATAACTTGTTTGGGAGTAATAATGGAGGGAAGGGAATGGAAGAAAATATATGTAAATTTACACAAATGACCTTATACTAATAACACATCAGTCCTTTTATTTGTTTTGATGGGGATAAGAATGTCATTACACCCATTTACCCTCCTCTAACGCCACTCCCAAACAAGGTGAAAGCTACATTTCTCTTCCCCTCCCCCTCTCTACCCTCCATCCAAACAGGGCATACATGTCCCACTAATTCCTTATTTTGGGTCCCTGAGGCATTCTTCAAAAATATATATAGGCAGCTGTCCCCCATACAAAACTTTCCCAAATATGGCATATTTGTAGATTGACCCTCAAAATCTACATATTAGATGATTTGCTCCTACATCCTTGGACATTGGATTCAAATTATAAATGGCAGAATGATAAGAACATCCTTCCTCCAAAAATTAAAATAGTTTTGTTATTATATGAAAATAAAACCTATTTAATTTATATATTTTATTATCCTGAATTTACATATTATTTAGTTTACACCGGTTGATTTTAATGGTGTTAGATGAGGTATAAAAATTTATTGTAGAATAATCTAGGGGGTATTTTGTTAGTCTCGAGAGTGTAGGCCAAACCTGAAATCGAATCAACGAAGAAAACTGGAAAAACCCACTTCGGTCAACTGACGGAGGAGATCAATCGACCATGACGCTTGCAGGAAACAAGCATGAGAAACTACGTTCTGGCCTGTCGACCAAAAGACATGGTCCGGTCGACCGAAAGCCGTTTTTGCAGTTTCCTAAATTGTTTGGGATTCTATTTTGGGCTGGGGTACTATATATACCTAATACGTTTAATAGAACACTCAAAAAAGAGGATTTTAAGAGGATTCTTTCAGAGAGATCTCAGAGAGATAAAAACTTATTTGTGGGCATTGTAATCTTCTTCAATTAATCAAAGAATTATGTGGTGTGGCTCCTGAGGGTAGACACGTTGCCAACTTCGTTAAATCTGGTGTGTTCTCTCTTGTTTATCTTTCCTGTAATTTTTTTCTATTTGCGGTGATTTTCTTACTTGCTAAACTCTTAGCACAAGGTCCGAAAGGGCACGGGTTCGACTGATTGTTTCGAATCCCCAACAAATTGTATCAAAGCTTTGTTTAGAAGATTTGTGCGAAAGCCATGATAGAGGAAAGCAAATTAAAGATCGAGAAATTTGACGGGTCAGACTTCGCCTACTGGAAGTCGCAGATGGAAAACTATCTGTACTAGAAGGATCTTTACCATCCATTGATGTGCAAGACTAAGGGAAAGAAGAAGGAGGAATCAAACGAGGAGTGAGAAATACTGGATAGGAAGGCTTTAGGGAAAATTCGGTTGTTGCTCGCCAAATCGGTCACCCATAATATATTGAAGGAGAAGACGACGGTGGGGCTTATGGAAGTACTCGCGAAGATGTACGAGCATCCGTCAGCCGCAAACAAGGTGTAACTCATCAAAACCCTCTTCAACCTCAAGATGGCAAAAGGATGCTCCTTCACGATGCACCTCAGCGAGTTCAACACGATTGTTGATCAACTTATCTCTGTGGATATCACGTTTGATGACGAAGTACAGGCCCTATTGATTCTATCACAGTTGCTGGATAGTTGGACAGGTTGCGTGACCGCAATCAGCAACTCGATGGGGAAGGAAAAGTTAAAGCTGGGCAAGGTTATTAGCATGTTTTTATCCGAGGAGGTCAGAAGAAAATCGTCTGAATTAGAAGATTCAAGTTCAACCCTAAATCTCGAGTAGAGAGGCCGAAGCCAGAAGAAAGGTAACCAGAATAGGAATCGGTCGAAGTTAAAGAAGAAGAGGTCAAACTCGAAGGTTAGGCCTATCATAGGGAAGTGTTGGAACTACGACCAGGAGGGTCATATGTCTTCGGCCTGTAAAGCACAAAAAAAGGATGCGAATGAGCAGGAGGCTTATATCATGCAAGATGCATTGATCCTTGTTATGGATAGTGATTCTGATTCATGGGTAATTAATTCAGGAGCCTCTTTCCACCCAACTGCTAATAGGAAGCTTATTCAGAACTATGTAGCAGGGGACTATGGGAAAGTGTACTTAGGAGACAATGAGCCTTACAGTATTGTTGGAAGAGGCGACGTGCAGATTCAGATGAAGGGTTCTAAGTGGAATCTGAAGAATGTCAGACACGTACCGAAGCTGAAGAGAAATCTTATTTCGGTTGGTCATCTTGGAGCAAAAGGCTATGTTTCAACATTCATCAGGGATTCGTGGAAAATCTATAATGGTACTATGTTGGTTGTCTGAGGCAACAAAACAGAAACTCTCTACCTCACTTCACATGCGAGTGACACCCTAGTAATTACACCCGACAAGGAGAGTACAGATTTGTGACAAAATAGGTTAGGACACATGAGTGAGAAGGGTATGAAGATTCTACACTCATAAGGAAAGCTAATCGGTATCGATTCAGTTGAAGTTGGTATTTGTGAAGACTGTATCTACGGGAAGCAGAAAAGGGTCAGCTTTCAGAAGGATGGAAGACCACCTAAAGCTCAGAAGCTAGAGCTTGTTCATATAGATGTATGAGACCCAGCTAGCGTGTCTTCTCTTGGCGGTTCGACGTACTATGTCACATTTATCGACGATCACTCGAGGAAGGTGTGGGTATACTTCATGAAGCACAAGTCAGAGGTGTTCGGGATCTTCAAGAAGTAGAAGGTTATGGTAGAGGACGAGACAGATCTGAAGGTGAAGTGTCTGAGATCGGACAACGATGAAGAATACGAGCTGGATGAGTTCAAGAAGTTCGGTGCTCTAAATGGGATTCGTTTGGAGAGAACTACTCCAGGGACACCGCAACAGAATGGCATTGCAGAGAGGATGAACAGGACATTAACGGGGCGTGCGAGGAGCATGCATCTACATGCAGGTCTACCCAAGATGTTTTGGGCGGACGTGGTGCATACGGCAGCTTATCTGATTAATCATGGGCCATCAGTTCCATTAGATTTTGGGATTCCAGAAGAGGTTTGGAGTGGCAAGAAGGTTAATCTCTCACACTTGCGAGTATTTGGTTGCATGGCATATGTTCATATCAGTGACCATGTCAGGGACAAGCTAAAAGCTAAGTCACAGAAGTGTACATTCATTAGATACGGTATTGATGAGTTCGGGTATCATCTGTGGGATGAGAAGAAAAAATCATCAGGAGGAGAGATATGATATTCAATGAGAATGTGATGTACAAGGATATAGACAATGCCAATGATAGCCAAAGCAGTGGGAGAAGCACTACGGATGTAGGTGGATCCGAGTACATAGATTTGGAGGAACTTCCGGATGGGGTAACAACGTCAGTTCTGACCAAAGAACAGAGGAGACTCTAGGTGCAGAGATGACTACCCAAGGTGTGGAGCTCAGGAGGTCATCCAAAGTACCCAAACCGAATCCCAGATATCTCTCATCACTTGGCTATTTACTTTTGACAGATTGCTGTGAACCAGAGTGTTATGAGGAGGCTATGTAAGTGAGTGAATCTCAACAGTACGTGAGAGCATGTGATGTAAGAAGAGATGGATTATCTACACACTAATGAGACATTTGAGTTAGCCCAGCTACCTACATGGAAGAAAGTCTTACATAATAAATGGGTCTATCGGGTCAAGCAGGAGAGTGATGGAAACAAGAGGTACAATGCCAGATTAGTCGTGAATGGTTTTCAACAACGAAAAGGAGTGGATTATAGGAGATATTTTCCCCATTGTGAAACTTACGACGATTAGAGTGGTGTTTGTTGGTCTTCTTGTTTTGATGATGTTTAACAAACAATTTACTCCTAATATTGTTTGTCTAGTATTTGTGTTTTCTATTTATTGTAGACAAATAACATTATTGGAGGATGGATGGAATAGAGCTTCAACGATCATATCCAAAGGAGGTTGGCGGAATGTTGGGTTGAAGCCCTTGCAATTCAAAATTAAAGATCAAGTTCAAACTTCATCCGCAAGTGTACTAAGTCGAGCTTATTGAAGATCAAGATCTAGCTTGGGTAACTTAGTTTAGGTTTTATACTATGTGTGTTAAGTACCTTAAGCTCAATATCATATACACACACATATTTGGTTTGTATGTATATATATAGTTATATATATACATGCATGGTTTTGGATTTTCATGTTTACAAATATGAAATTACATATTTCATATTTATTATTGTGATTTGGTTTAACTACTTAGATATGAAACAAATATATTTTCATATACATACTCATATGTTTCATTTTCTATTGTATTTATAAAAATATTATATTCTTAGTTTTTGGACTTAACAATAATCATATACATATTTTATTAAGTCTACATAATCATTGTGCAAAGTTTCAAAACATGGTTTAGCCAAAATATCAAAATTCACATGTTTACATTTTCATGTTTTGGACTATTTTGTAAAATGATGATATTTTTCATTTGGGAAGTCCTTTTTGGAAACCAGTCATTGTAGCATGTTTATTATCATGT